ATTATCGTTTGAGTTTTTTCTGTCTTCTCCGAGTGATATGTTCAACCTGTTAGCAGTTGCAGTCACGTAAAGATCTATTTACGTTCAATTTGGCATACACCTCAAAGGACTGTCTTTTCAATTACAGACTGCTACCTTTATACATAGCCTTTACTTACCTGCTTTTGTGTTCACATCATTTTTACACTGCTAGAAATAGATACCCGATATATCAAGATTACCCTTATCAATTATTAGATAGATTTTAGGAGGAAATGTGTTCAGTACAATCCGGATAATTTCTACATATTTATCAGGGTTATAACTGCCAACAATAATTATACAGTATAATATAGCTAAGCAGCAGCCAGTTGAAAAGTTCAAAAGATTTATTGAGAATATAATCCATGTTATTGTTATTTGATAGTAAATAAATAAGATTTGAGAAGTCGGTAATTTCAGGAATCTTGTTAGCTAAATGATGGCCAATATTCCTGTTATCCCGATCATCCTAGGCATGCGCACTATAAAACCACCGTATGAACACATCTGCGGATGTTTCTAAATTCAAAATTTCACTATTTCCATGTTTAAATGTTAAATACTGCTTAAGCCTGAGCTAGGGGCATGGACGGTAACTTGCACTTTCCAGAAGCATTCATGCATAGGCTCAGTCAAACCTATCCTGAATCATTTTCAATTTTGTCGTAATGGGCGTTCTCTTCTTTATCTTTTTTGTCAAATATTTAAGTATAACTTGCAGACAAAAAACAAGAAACGTTGACAACCGTATTGCTTTGGGCAAACTTATAACATGCCGAAGTGAAACAAAAATAAGTGTCAAGGTAATAGGCAAGCTGAAAGTCTCCATTCTCTTACTGTGTAGCAATACCACGTGACCATGACGTCATTTTCGGCATCATTTCCAAATACAAATATTGCTCGATCCGAAAAAGAAAATAGCTGCAAGTATTGTATTTATGCACCAATATCTCTGGAATTTGTGCCATTTTACGGGGAAAAAGATAAGCTCGTCACAGAAGTGTTGATCTCCTTCAGTATATGAGCCGTTTTGTCAAACACTTTGTGAAACCAAAACAGATGACGTCATGGTCACGTCGTATTGCTACACTGTCTTAAGAACAATATAATTCCCTTTGTAGTTATTTACTATGGACAGGTATACTATTGTCAGTATTTGCAGTTAAGAAGGGGAGAATTTTAGAAAGCAATAAAAACAAAAATGAACAGAAAAAAATTGCAGAGTTTAATTGAGTGTGTATGTTTATGATAAATTATAAAAGTTGTAACATCTCTCACGCCCCAAGCACCGACTATAGCACTGAATGTAAAGAAATTAGTGATCAAGAAGAACGAGAAAAATATGTCAACAATAAAAATGAAGAACGGGGCACTGTTCTCGGTACTGGAATGTTATAGAGCTAGATGTCATGCCGCAACGTGTTAATATACATTCTATTGAGAGAGGGGGCATAGACGGTAGCTTGCAATTGCCACTACATGCTAAATTAAATCAATATTACAACATTTTGTTTTCAATTTTGCCGTTTTGGGTGTTCTAAAGGAATTTAATTTTTCCTATGTTATATCCTTTTGACCCTGCAATGAATTGTATCTTTTTATCTTCCCATATTAACAAACTCAAACAGTGTGTTTTTATTGATAACTATTAATTTTCATTTTTTAGCTCTCAATGGATCTACTCCGGTTTTATTAAGCTTATACCCAACGTTTGACCTAAAATCATTTAGTTTTCACCACCAAATTTATGTTTGAATTACGCATATGAATTAATATTATTTATTTTTAAGGAGAATATCATGTTTTCCTTTCATTTTCCTAGTAGTTTTAGGTCTGTAGTATATCAGGTAGTTAAGATTTAGATAATTTCCTTGGTGAAGAGCAACACCTTAGATATAATAGATATTCATTGACAGATGCAATCTATCTGTAATATATCAAACATAACTGTATGGTAAATACTTAAACACATCAGATACAAACATATGAAGTATTATTAGAAATAGTTCCACGAGCTAGAGAACCTCTCCACGTAAATATCATTAACATGATAAATGATTGATATATGTAATCAGTAATAGCCTCATTGTCGGGGAAATATCACAGCCGGTTGTTTTTATATAATCCAGGGGAAAAGTTAGGTGTAACATTATTTGACTGTATAAAAAAAAAAAACAAAAAAAAATTAAAAAAAACAAAAAAACAAACAAAAAAAAACAACGAACGAAAAAAAAAACAACAACAACAAACAAAACAACAAAAAGTAAAGACGTTTGTAGACTGTTAGCGAATTGAGAACAACTTTTGAAACAAACAAAAAAAGAAAGGAAAACGTTTGAAGTAGATGCCCAGATTGCGTTTATACATCATTATTATATATCAACAGTCATGTTATTGATAGTGTGTTTAATTTTGATCTCATCGTTGTAAGTGTGGGACTTAAATAACCTACCATGAATTAGATTTTAACTGAAACGTTGATAGCAGCTGATACTGACAAATATACTATAGACTACTCCCTATACATTGATTTGAAAGCTAATTTTGTCTTGTGATAAAATAGAGAAAATAATAATCCCTAAAGAAAGCCCAAAACGACAAATTTAAAAAGTGTTTGATTGAGCCTGTTCATGGACAGTAATGGAAAGTGCAAGTTACCGTGCACGCCCCCTAGCACCGGCTTAAGCAGAATTCAACATTTAAACATGAAATGGAAAAAAATGAATTAAGAAACATCCGTAGATGTGTTCATACGGTTGTTATTTTGAAATCTTCAATATGACACGTTAGTGCCATTCCATGAACAGCGGCGTATGGTCCCAATTAAAAAATGTGTGTGCCCTAAACGAAAAAACAATTGGCGGAACTAAATAGAATTGAAATTTTAAAGGGGATCAGAGGTTATGAAGCCTGCATATCACAGATAAGAAGTCAAAAGATATAGTTAAAAAGTATGCAATATATCCTTAGGGCGATTCAACATTATTCAAGAAGGAATACTAGATAATGCAAATTAATTAAAACTAAAAAGTACCACAAACACAACAAAAATGTCGGGCTGAACAATCTTTAGAGATTGAAAATATACCATCTCTGATTGAATGTACGGGGCAACTTTTTGCAACCTCTGTTATTTAAAACCATGTAGATTTATGATTGTGAGGAAAATTAATTAAAATTCAACATCTCAATCAAAGTCATATATGTAAACAGAAAGCTTTGTTGGGTCACTTATATGTATATATTATTCATATGTTATTTCATTTTAATAACAAAGTAAGACAACCATTTTCAATTGCTATAGATATCATACCTTGATTTATCTATGGCTGCTGCGTACAGGTGAAGCGCGCTAGGGGGATAATATTCTAAATTGAATTTAAGAGCAAATCTACATCCTTTCATTATCTGTTAGTGCGTTGTTAAGATTTTGTTTGAAGTGAACCGGCATTTACAGGTAATTCTACTGGAGATTTAAGATAAAGTAAAGATTGTCTAAGCAAATTGACTACGAATGTTTGCGAGCGTGTGCTGTTTTATATTTTATCTTGATAGTGTAAGAGTGAATTTAACTACATTTCCTGATTATTCCATCAACATAAGTTTTCTAATATCAGCAAATTATCTAACGAAAGCTGTTAGAGAGACATCAAAAATAACTGTAACTGGCGTGAATACTGATAAAATGAGTGTGTTATAAAACTATAATATCATCTGAGTGTTTAATATAGCTATAAAGATATGTCTTACATTTCAAGATTTTTATTTTTATTCCATTTTGAAACGTATTAAAAGGTTCAATTTAGGATATGCCTGTTCAGTTAATTAATTTCTTATATTGTGAGAAATATATCAAATAATTATATCTTGTATAACAAAAAGAGGAAATAATTTCGTTTACAAATGCTTATATTTCTATAATCGTATATAAATTTGCTTGACTTATTTCTATAAAATAGGAAGCAAAGTAAAAGTAATCCAAATTATAATATCAGTGGTGATGATAATGATAATAAATTAAATAAATAGAAAAAAACACACACACACGGTAAAGTTCATGCCTTACTGAATATGCCTTATTTGAGTAAGCAAATGCACACACTTTTTTGGGGGAGCTGCATTCGCTATAAATGGTAAAATTAATTTGGTCTTTTCTTAAAATAGTCTGCAGGTTTTTAAAATAAAAAAATGTATTCGGTCGGCTTTTACGAAAAGTATGTAGAATATCTTCCCTTTGTGTAGCCAAGAAAATGTTTATTTTACATTTAAAATTACCGTAGGGAAACAATAAGTAATTTGAGAATAATATATCTTTAAATTAAAAAAAAAAACTTGTTAGATAGATATATGACACCGGGGACTGCGTGTTTATAAAAATTCGGGTTTTATTATTCTAAGGAGAAATTGATTTTTTATGCACTGAAATTTACGTTAAAATGTAACTCATTTATTGCGCTTAAATACTCTATAACTGCTCTATGTAACTTCATGCCTTTGAATTCACGTAACATGCTTCATGGATAAAATCATCAAATGCACTTATAATTGCGTATAATTTCTCCACTGCTCGAGATGATGCTCTTATATTCGCATATAATTGTTTTACCAGTAAAATGATGAAATGCTTTCATAATAACGGGATCATATGTTGTGCTTGTAAGATTTAACAAATATTTTTGATAAGATTTTATCATAAGGAAAGGTTTCTCTTTCACTATGTATCTGTAAGTACAATCGGAGATATACTTTTTTCAACTTCTGAAACATCAATAATCGCGCAGACAAAGACATAATTTATTGATAAATTTCAGATTCATAGTTTTATTAGAAACTGAAATAATTTTCCGCGTTGCAGTTATATAATGATTGATATCCAAAGACACGTTTTGGCTTCTTATGAATACAGGTGTAAGAATTAGGGAAAACATATACATATTGAAATAGTTTTATAGCAACAAATAAACAAACAAACCTGTATATCCATTTTGAAAAATTTAATAAACGTAAGATCCAAAAAAATAATTTAATCGATTAAACTACGAAAGACGTTATTGCTACGAAATAAATAACACGAAAATTAAACACGCGCTGGACTTCCTTTTGAAAACGTCTGTACGTCCAAGCAAGCAGCAAAAATTAGTGTGTATAAATTTGATATACATAGTATAAAACAGAATTAATGCTATTCCTGGCTAGAAGGTAACGTTAGCGATTGCAGTTTTGCCTCAGTAATGTTTCACCTGAGTGTCAAGTTAATATGTCACTTGATAATGTTTATATAAGAGTTGATAGTCTTTGTGACATCTGTAAATGCGGGTACGAAATATTTTACTAGCTAAAGACAAGCATTTCAAAGTTTGTATTCTAGCATCGTGGCGTATTTTGACTCGTCTCCCCCGAGATTGGCGTTCACGGTGATTTTGGCATCCTTGTTTTTGAAGGGATCCAGGTTTGTGTTTCCTTCAAAATGATTACCTTTCTTCTCAAGGTGGAACCATTCTCCATCGGCAACGACAGCAACAGCCTTGGCACCCGAGATTATAACCTTCCAGAATACATTCTTCAGTGGTGCTTCCTTGTGGAGCACAAGAGGCTCGTGCAAGTAACAGCCGTCTTTCCACTGTGCGTACTGCTTCGGGAATGGGAATACCGGATGGAGCGCCCTTACGCAGTTAATAAGATAGTTATAGACGTTTGGAAGAGACGTGCAATCATCGTCTGCTGGAAGAGCGAAAATCTGGAATTTGAAGTATCCGGACTCTGGAAGATTGATGATGAAGGTGATGGTGCCGTGATAGGTTTGTGTGAACACAAACTGTGAGTGATCACTATTATCCCTCGTGTTAATTAATTGATGTGTAACTTTGAGCGGCTTATTTATTTTCAATTTAATTTCTAACTGGTTATCGTTGGTGCGGATTTCTGGTTCAATTTGACTTAGACATGACATACCTAAGTCACTAAATTTCGGCTGGGCACCGAGGTAGCCCACGGGTAAATCCGGTCGCTGTGCCATTCTCACAAAAGTCCACCAAAGTATTTGGCACAAACGTTTACTACAAAGTCCAAATTTTCAATTTCCTGGAAAATCGACTTCCGCGTACCGCGACTCTTCCAAAGCTGTACTGCGCACAGGTAATGTACTAACTTGGACGGGTAGACAACGATCTGCTATATGTTAATACACGTATACAACAGTTCACAATATCTGTTCCATTATAGTCTTTGCAGGAATCCAAGTAGTGTTTCATATTAAATATTGAAATGGAGAAAATTTATGATTATCCAGCCAATTTATAAATGCCTGTTGTGCAAAATTTAAATAATGTATGAAAGAATATTTCGCTTCATACATATCTGAATAAGACAAAAAGCTGTCTTAATCCAATTCTAAGACTGGCCGTTATTTTAACAATCCTGCACGGCAGTCACGTTAATATGTATTGAACATAATTTACGGGTTTGAAAAGGTGCATACTATCTGTAGATAAAAAGTAACTGCAAAATATTTTTTTAAACAATGTCTGTTTTATGTTTAGGTTAATCTTTGTTAGTAAGCCTTAATTAAATTAATTATATCAAACAAAGCGCAGCCGGGCGACAGATTGCTGACTTAACAAACAGTGCCTGATACAGAATATTCAAACAAACAATTTATCATTACAAACATTTTGAACAGACAATACAGCCCATCTCCGTAACACGAGAGTATACATATGTTTATAAAATCTGAGTTGAACAAACAAATGACCAAACAAGTATGTAAAAAAATCTAAATTGTTTGTTTTTTTCGTTCAATTTTTCAAAATTACAAAATATACGTTTATGTTTCCACATTTCTAATGGTGAAAGTAATATATTTCACTAAAGTTTTTGATCAGGTGTTATGAACTGACTCTAACTTTAACTCATAGCAGGTTATGAAAAGGTCGAGTTTTAAGGGCGTGTTAAAAGTATTGTTTAAATAAAAATCCTCTTGTTTGACGATAACAAATCGATGAAATTTTACGATGTCGACTAAGGTATAAACATTCTGACTTTCACGGTTTAAAGATGATAAATCAAAAACTGACAGAAAACCTGATGTTTCATAGGTCAAATAACATAAAAAATATTTCCCGTATTTTCTGTATTGTATATAACATTATTACAATCGTTAAATTTTATAATTATAACATTATTATCAATATAAAAATATCATACTTGCAATCATCATTATTATCATCGTTAATACCACCACCACGATTATCATGTTCATTTTTATTATCATTTTTATAATCGTGATGATTATGACGTTGACGATGATGATGATGATGACGACGACGACGATGATCATGATCATGATGACGAAGACAGCGACGCCAACGATTATGATGATGACGACCACGACAACGACGACAATGATTATGATGGTGATGATGACCATGACTGCGACGACGACGATTCATAATCTTAATGATGATTATGACGTTGACGATAATGATGATGATGACGATTACGACGACGACGACGACGATGATGATAATGATGACGAAGACGACGACGCCAACGATTATGATGATGACGACCAATACGATGATGATGATGAGGACGAAGACGACGACGTCAACGATTATGATGACGAGGACAACGATGATGACGATGATGATGATGATGATGATGATGACCACGACGACGATGATATTGCTTATAAATATCAACAAACATTAATAAAACAAGTAAACCAACTTCGCTCTAAACATTGTTTATCTCTTTGATGAGGTGAACTAGCTTTTCCTTTCCGATAATAATGTGTAACGTAAAAGATAACGCTGAAGTGGTGGGATTTCGAACAGTTCTCAAGTGGTAACAAACTTAGATCTGTTAGAAAATGCTAAATAAACAATGTTGTAAGATGTATATTTATCGCATACATGTGCCGCTTTTGCGACTCCGTAAAAGTTGTATTACACGGTCGTGCATATTTGTCGTTACGTCACTTGCGTTATTGAAATATAGTGTTAAATTATAGGCTCGTCAATGAGTAAATGATTGTTTTAACTGAAAAAAAAAGTTTTTAGGCATGTGATAATTATATTTTATTCGTGTAGGTTCATCACTAAATTTATTTATCTCGTTGAATAAAGTAATAATATGCTCGTCAGAGGCTCGTATTATATAATCAACTCGTTCAATAAATTCAGTATTGAACCTACACTCATTCGATATCCTATATTTAGTATACAACCTATATGAAAGCACATATGGCAAATAATTAAAAGGGGAAAAATGATAGAAATGTCTGAACATTTTTATATGAAATAGATCAATCATTTTGAGTTAGTAAACGGACTGCGTGGCATAGTACAGTCTGTACCTATATGGTTGTATTCTCGGGAAATGCATGTATATCTTTTTGAGAATAAATATGATTTAATATTTATAGATTAAAAATCCCTGGAAAATTTAAGATAAATAGCTCCTTCTTCGCTTTCCCTGCACGAATGTAACTGTAGCTTAGACATCGTTGAAAGCCTACGGGCTTATCAGTTAGTTGAAATCTATATGTTAGCATATTTGAGGAGTGATACAAGTTTTCGCGATTACGTGTTTCATATACCTGCGATTGTTCGAGAAATTCTCTCGCGGGACTAAAAATAGCAACGGATTTCAAGAATCTTAATTCTCTTTGAAAATATTAGCATTGCTTGCTTGGAGGATAGTGTTTACCTGGGAAGTTAAATAGGATTTTCCTCCTATGTGATATGATACCAAACTTCAGACGTTTTATTCTCGAATAGACGGAACTGAGATATTGTATCTGTGTAAACAATTTACCAGAATAATTAAATTAGAAGTAGGCAAAAGGAATTTATCTTTGTTTATAAACGTATGTTTGCGCTTGGAAAAAACGAATCAATATGCACATGCGGTCTTCCTTCAGCAGTAAATCTAAAGAGTCAAATCTACAAGGCCATAACGTTGATTACTAATACGTGAAAATATTGCAAAACTATCTAAGCAATTCTACCATTCGGAGAATGTTAGTTATATGCCATTAGAAAGATATAAAAGCTAGAATTATGTGATGATAGAGAGTGCTGAGTTAGAATTACACAATAATTCCGTTTATCAGCAGTTCGTAAATCGTATATACCATGATAGCAGAAATAAAGCGAAACAAATAAACAAACCCCTTAAAAGATAATGAAAAATACTATTAACACAGCAATAAAATATTTACAAAATCTTGTTAACTAAATGACATTCTAGGGAATGAACAAAATAACCCACTAACAAATCGATTCGTTTAAAACATATTCCGGTTCTGGTCAATTTGGTAAAGAAAAACATTCATTGTTAACGTATTTTTTAATGCAAATGTGTCTTTATTGTCAAATATTATTATATATGAGCCCATTATTACCACGCTAAATATTTCTAAACTTCTTCCCTTTGAGCTTTCATTTTTACGAATATGAAAATTTATTCAGCATTAAACATGTTAAAATAATGTTTATCACTGATACAAATCTAAAATACAATGTGAACAAAGAAAAAACATAGGAAAAACAATACAACAAAATGTAGTTTTTACTGTATAAATCGTACAGTTATCGGAAGAGATTGTTTCACGAAACGTAATTTTAGTTAATGGAAAATATCATAAGGGATGATGAAGGCACATACAGTAAATGTATAATTATGTATGTTATATAAATCTAATAAATTATCTTATTCTTATGTCAAATGATATAATTCTCATTATGTTTGCAAAGTAAACTAATTTAGTTTAGTTACATATATCTTTTGTAGAGTTTGTTGATACAAAAGCCCTAAATTTGACAGTCGGCAACTGGCATTAATAGCGTTAAAACATTTATTTCTAATTTTGCTCAGGATGCCAAGTACAGAAATATAAGTCGTCTCTACATCAAGCTTGCACCGGTCAGTAACCGAACATACTACAGATTACGGCCATTCTCAAATAAACTAGAAGGTTATGTTTTCTTTTTCATAGAATATTCTATTTCTTGATTATTTATCTACTTATAAATATTAATAAATATTTCTATCCAATTCCCGAACTAATTCTAAAGTTAATGATTGCAAGCAATACGTATGCCAACATAAACGATAGAAAATGGCGAGCAAAGACATACAAACCATCTTATTTCTATTAAAGCCTTTCACGTTCTTCGTTATTTCAAGGCTTGATTCCCGGCCGCCTATTACTAATCAGATTCTCAGTTGGCTTTCGTACCTTTTTGAAATTGTAAATGTTAAGACGCCGCCAGAATTAGTTATTTCGGACTCCCTCAGAAGTCTTGTGGTTATCCAGAATAGCGAGAATCAATGGCTAGTTCTTTCTGAAACATATAAAGTGTTAAGAACCAACAAACGGAAAAACGGTTAAAAGTTTAAACTAAATGAAAATATGAGTTGAAACTCCGATCGTCGATCTCCAGACCTTTTGTAATTGCAATCATTGGGAGCTACCACTGGCCTACACGCTAAGTCACAACAACATTTTGTATTATCCGGTGTCACCACTGTAAGAACACGCCAACTAATCAGAACGTGGTTATCACTTGTCAACACGTTATTTCATCAAATTCTTAGATTTGTGTTACTCAGATGGGAACACTGGCCAATACACCAACTCATCAAAATCAACATTTGTATTACTCGGTGTTACCATTGGCCAACACACAAAAATATCAGAACATTTATATTACACGGTGTTACCACTTGCGTATTACTCGGATGTTGCTACTGGCCAACACGCCAATTTATCCAAATCTAGCATTTGGTTTACTCGGATGTTATCGCTTGCCGACCCGAAGACTCATACAATTATGTCATTTGGAATACTCTGTTTTATCACTGGCCATCACGCCAACTTAATAAAAATCAAATATTTGTATTATTCGGGTGTCATTACTGGCCAACACGACAACTCAAGATTGTAAGTCAGTGATTGTTGCCACTTGGTTACAGCGGCCATTCGTCAGATGTATGCATATTGTTTATGACTCTTTAAACGACTGGTTATTGAAATAAGAATAATATTTTCATGTAAACTTGTTTTACAATCAACAGTTCCAATTCAGACGTTAGGTATTGCAAATGAAATGAAACGAAACAAAATGCCAACTATTATTAAAGCC